TTTTACTTTATTTTATCAGTTGAGAACCCAAGAGACAAGGATGGTCACGTTTGCCAGTGACACAGGTCACCAAAATGTCCACAGCAACAAAAAAACGTGAAATAAAGTACTGCCACGTAGGTAGTAGAAATCGGCAAAAAGGATAAGCAAGGACGTGTTTTAAAGCAATGGAATTCCAGGTGTCCGGTGCAATAACAAAGAAAACATTTTCAGGATCTGCTCTTTTACCTTCACTGCCTTGTTCTGCCTATTCTTTTCCCTGTCGATGTATTCCCATTGGACTCGATGATAACATTTGCAACACCGTATCATTCGAAGTAAAAAAATTTTTTGTATAAATGGTAGATACAGTTGTCCTGCTGTATCGGTTCCGCCTGATGACGGTCGCTTGTGTTGCGATCGAAACGTCGTGATTTATTTTATTTTATTTCTACCTACGTGACTTTACCGAACGAACCAAAGAGTATGGATTCCTGCGGTCACGAAAGCTTCAAATTAAGATTGGTAGATACAGCGTTAGAGTATAACCTGCATCATTTGATGCACGCATTGCGGATTTTGAATCGATTCATCTTTGCCGACACCAATGTGCATCGTAGCGCCTGCAAGGCAAATATTATGCATTCAAATGAGTTCGATTATGCCATTGCTCAATCTCGTTGTTGCTACTGATTATGACATTTGGGCAATGCGCTTATGTTGCTTAATGTCATTGGCAAAACATCAAATAAAGCAAAAAACTGCCTAGTGTTTGACATTTATTAAGCAAATGCTATCCAGCATGTTTACACTGTACCGATAAAGACGGAGATTGATCCAGAAGATTGCCATGGGGGGAGTGGGCGGTGCCACATTTTCAAGATAATTTTAATTAGGGCCCCACATTAATGAATGCATAAAAAAACACGCGATTTATATTCTCTCGTAAATATCAATCAAATGTGTTTTTTTAAATGTGGGGGTCTCGAGGAGGGGGTGGGGGTGTCGAGGAAGGCACTGGATAAAAAGAAAGCGCAAGTTTGTTTGTTGATCAGGGTGGGAATTGTGCAAGTGTGACAACAGCTATGTTTACGTGCTCGGAGCAATTTGAAGGTGATAATTATTAGAGTTGCACATTGCGCGTTTGGAAAACTTAATGTTTCTGGGCAGCTCGTTAGTATAGCTTCAGCGACACAACGTAGGAAAACTGTCTGCATATGTGTGGATTATGTAAAGAGTTGAAACATGTCTTTAGAAGTATTTATTTAGGGTATGCGATCTGATGGGTAGCATATCGGGGCACAATACGTTTGCACGTGTATTTCCAGAAGGCTGTCTTGAAATCAGTTTCAAAGACAATGTTTATATTATTAGAGCATGTTTGTTTGCATGTTCACCACAATTACGTGGTTAATGCAGACTTCATGCCTTGGTGTTTGAACATCTTAACATCTGTTTTATTGCCAGAAAAGGCTAAAAAAACGTCTTCTCATTTCCCATACTTTGATCCGGGCAAGAAGATGCCATGATATCTCTTTGCTCTCGTTTGTGTCTCCACGTTTTGGGCAACCCTTGAATAAAATATCGCCGTTTTCCTATCGGTTAAGTCCCTAAAAGCAAAGCAATGTAATTCAAAAGTTTAATGCATAGCAGATGATTATCATCAGAGTAATGTTGGCTCCCTCATTACGGATGGACAGACAGAGCCGCTTTCAAAATATATATATACCAACAAAGGGCTGACTGCGTCTCAAGGCATATTTTCAGTAAGCTTCTAATTTGGCATAATCGGCTAATTATGTTCTTTAAATGTGTTTTCATATGTGGGCAAAATGGGAATACCCAGAGAAAAAACATGTATTCACGAGGAAACCACTCAATCTGCATGGCCAGGTTATTCACCTACTTGCTGAACTTCCTTCCTGAGGAACTCAATTGCTCAGAGTGAGTACCACCCCCCCCGCCCCCCGCCCCCCCCCCAAACATCAAGTAAACAAATGGCAGCTGCTATTCGCTTGACGACATGTGCATGTTATTCAAGCAAATCCACAAACCATGGTTCGTTTTCTGTACTACAAGCGGCTGCTAATGATGTGGTTGTTGTGGCCGTGGTTGTACCTCAGGGAATATTAACTTGGTACAAGTTAATGATGTGGTTGTTGTGGCCGTGGTTGTACCTCAGGGAATGTTAACTTGGTACGTGTCCGGTGAGGGTTGGACCTGTGCGTGGGTGCAGTGTGTGCGGTGCAAAGATGCCACGGTGAGCAAATGTCAGGTTTAAAAATATGCTTTTAATTTATAAAAAAAAAATTCACTGTCAGTGCTACGTGATGGAATCGAGCGGCCATTTGAAACTCGTGCAGGGCATCCGTGATTTAAAAAAAAAATTCCACGGAAGGAGATAAAACAGACCTAGTTCTGAGATCACTCTTCAAGTGACCCCTTATCCACATATCTAAAGATGTTAATAGCTTTGCATTCAAACCAAATTAATTCTCAAAGATAGCATTTTTTGCACATTTGAATGAAGATCAAAGTTAAGATGATGATTTTTTTTGCGTGCAGTCATTTTGAATGGGCTGAGACCATCAACTCACTAAAATTGAGAACCCGATTTAATCATGGGTGGCTGAACCCGGATTTATACCTAGGTTCTTAAGGGATGCCGGCAAACTGACCTCTGAGCCACCCAGATTGTATTAAGGACACTATTTTTTAATCTAGATTAAAAACTCTTTTCTTTCTATCTGCTTTTTGTGTTTAGTTTTTTGTCCTTCCCCCGGCACCCCCGATTAGCACGGTTGGCTAAGTACGGTGCAATAGAAGTTCAACATACGCACATTTCAAAAAGTTCCCTTCAAGTTGTGTGTTTCAGACATGATACTAGAACATAAGTAGTGCTTCACCTTTCATTCCAAGGGATCATTCAAATCCACTGCGAACATTCATTATGGCACTTGGGATTGAGACTTAATATCTAAGCAATCAATGGGCAAGGAAAGATCTCGCTGAGAAGATTAATCTACAACCTTATTAATTCCATCTGCGGACGTTTCAACGGCCAATCGTGAGACCTTTAAATCCCAATAGTCCTAGCTGGAGATTACGAAGGTTGACTGTTCTCTTCCGCAAAGGAAACACATCTGCAGAGTCAGAGTGGCAACCGAGCTGATTTAGATGTTGCATCCTTTGTGACCACATGTTGCTGTTTGCTCTGTGCGAGCGAGTCCACGTTCGTGTGCGTGTGTTGGAGTGGTGGTGTCTCAATGAGTCTTGAGTTTCGTGGTGAACTTCACAATAATAAAGGTGCCTTACAGTAATGGCCAACACTTAGAAGATGTGAAATACAAGGCATTTTAGCTTAAAATATCAACAAAGCAATGCACCATGGAAAATATGTTTACTACTATAATGAGCGATGAATGTCTGTGTGTCCCGCGCATGACGTCACTCCACATCGACCAGCCCCCCTCATTAAGAATCATGAACATTGTTGCATCCTCCACATGGACCCTCCCCCCATTAATAATCATAAGCGGGGGATGTCACTCCGAATGGAGAACCCCCCCCCCCCCCCATTAATAATCATGAGCAGGTGACATCACTCCACATCCAACAGCCCCCCTCCATTAATAATAGCGGGTAACGTCACTCCACCTCCACATGGGGGGCCGAGGCGCCTCCTCCCCCCTCCTCAGTGTCAACTTACAACCCTCACTACGAAGGCAGAACCCTCACGTCACGTGATCTCCGTAACGCTGTTGACACAGAAGTGTGATGTAGCTCTCAGAGACACCGTCTTGTTCAGTTATATGTATATTCATTATGGATAAAGTCCGACGACTCACTGATGACTTAACGAGTAACCGTGAGTGACTATACACACTTGGGTAACGTAAATAGCTCTATTCTGAGACAATGTAACTCTAGCCTTCCAAGAGTACAAGGTGCCCACTGCAGGATAATGAAGACGACCCGCTCCCAGGTGACAACGGAGACAGCAGTGCCCCCACAACAGCAGCCCAGAGCCCCGGTTCGTCCCGGCTCTTATCCCCCTCACGACCGGGCCACGCCCCTATTCCCGAACCCTCTCTCACCCCACCTGGCCCTGTCCGTCTCTGCCCTTATTACAATTTACGACCGTTAGGTCACGTGCTTCCCCTCACGCGACCCTGTCAACACTTGTCGCATCAATCATCATTAGTGACCACTTAGGTCCCACATTACCCTAACGTGACCCTGTCTGTTCCGTCACGTTAATTAGTAACCATGGCCACGGGGAGCCGTACTGTCCCTACATCACCCCGTACTGTCCTTACAGAAGTAAAAAGGACATCATGATGAACAAGGGATTATAATCTTTAAATTAAATAGGTCTGTGTCACCTCGCCTTTACAAATTGCACACGAATGGATGCAATTAATATCACGTCGCAGTCTGCTTTGAACTGGTCCTGGGGCTATGCTTGGTCAACTCAGCCTTACTTAGCAACTGTTGTGATGTGTAGACATGAGCACAAAGGTGACCAGGAATGGAACTAGCAATACCACCCCCTTCATCTGCCATGGCAGACCTGCACGGGGTGGCTCAGGAAGTGCCACATTTATTTTTTCTTGCTGAAAAATCTGAGCGGTGCCGCTGATATCAGGATGCGTATAGACAATGCGGTGATGCATACACACACACAGACAAACTGATATGCACACCAACACATATACACTCGCACACACTCAAGACGCACGGAGAAGACGCGGTGTCGCTGTCACCCAGTTGTTACCGACTGATGGCACACGCAACAGACACATCGTTGTCCCTGGCCCTGCTTGATCCCCGGCGCTCAAATTCAGATGCCTTATGAGGCCAGCGTATCATGGTTTGGTTCTGGCTGGGCACAATCACGTGGCCGGTAGAGAAACATCAGTACCATGAGGGCTGCTGTGCTGGTTTGGCTCGGATGCGCCGGTGGAACAGGGGGGGCGATCGTCTTTTGCGTTTGCGCGTGCGTGCGTGCGTGCGTGCAGTCCCCATGGTGGTGAAGAATGACTGTGACATGGAGAAGCCGTGTCCTCCCAACAACTTCGCCTTCCGCATCACGAGCGGCGCAGCTGACGTTGTGGGTCCCAACATCTGCTTCTGGAACAAAACGTGAGCAGAAGCTCGGGCTGGAGACGCACTCACCAACGCCGTCATTCGAGAGCCCAAAGGAAGGGAAACGCTTCTTTGTTCTCTCACGTGTCCAGGCTCTCACGTGTCCAGGCTCTCACGTGTCCAGGCTCTCACCTGTCCAGGCTCTCACGTGTCCAGGCTCTCACCTGTCCAGGCTCTCACGTGTCCAGGCTCTCACCTGTCCAGGTTCTCACATGTTCAGGCTCTGGAACACGAGGGACTTTACGCCCTGACCCCATGCATCTGGCTCTTCGATCCAACCATGTGTCCGACTCATGAATTATGCTCGCTATCATTTGTGCTCATTATATTTGTTATGTTAGTCGGTCAACGTTGACACGCAGCAGCTTTTGTTTCAGCAGATAAACAAGATCTACTTTTTAAATCTCGTCAACAAAGTCATGGTTGGTTGGTTGTCCGTCGTTATAGGGGCAAGAGTCCTCCACCTACGCCAAGGGGGGGCCCCTTCGGCGCCATACAGAGAGGGCAATAATTTAGCGATGACATCAGTTCGACAAGCATGCAGCGTGAATACAATTTAAGTGCAAACACTGCGCTCGAACAGCTATTGTACGCAGCTGTTCAGGATATTTAGACTTTTTGTGTTCAAAACGTCCGTTTCGATATACAAATTGTCAATCACCGACACTATGCCTATTACCATCTCGATTATTATTATCAATGCGCTTGTATATGGAAATTATTGGACACAATGCACATTTTGCTACAGGCTACGGGGCTACGTAGTGGGCAGTGCAGCAAAAGCTATCGTTGTACTCTGACGTGCTCCCGCGTCTGCTCTTGCCGACACCAACCCGCACTGACCTGCGTGGTGAAGTATGGTCAAATTGCTCCCATGCCCCACATGGTGTGAGGAGGCCCTCATCCAGCCATGGATTTATAAAATGGCTCTTGACAGGTACAGTATATGTACATGGGTGTACTATTTTATAATCAGCAATGTGGTGCTTTATTTAAAACGTATTGCTAAGCTCATGACACAATCTTTCAAATTGTGCATGACAAAAGCAATAATTTACGATTATTTTTGTTTTAGCCACTGTTACATTTGGGTTAATAGAGAAATGAGATTGAAAAAGTGAGAAATAATAAAAAATGGTTAATGAGACCAAAACTAATTCATTTTTGAATAAAGCTATGAACTAGATTTAACTATTCCTTGAATCTCTGGGAAAGGGATTTTAATAATTGCGTACCTACTAATACATTTTTTTATTTTTGCAGTGTGATGAGCAGTGTGCTGAACAACGTAGGAGTGGGATTAAATATCGCTCTAATTAACGGTAAGTCCTGTATGTATGTTGACTTTGGACTTCACACTACAGTACAATCTTAGGCATTGAACACAAAATGCTGTTCCATTGCATCAGAATTTGCATAGGTCAAAGACTTTATCGGTGCCAAGATGTGTGGTTTTCTTGGCCGGCACAGGATGTAGCTCAGTTTGCAAACTGCCAGACTGGAAGTTGTGAGAACGTGAGTTAAAATTTAGTCCAGCGGAGGTGGATGGGGTGACTCAGAGATTGAGCGCTGAGCTGGCATGACTCTTGTTCCCATCCAGGCAGCCGCCGATGAGTAAATTGGTTTCTCGTGTGTAGGTGAGCTAATGTTCTCAGCACAGTCACTAATGACTGCAACAAAAAAATCCATCACTTAAAATTTAGTTCTGCGCTTATATTTTGCCCAATTTTTGCCCAAGCTTTAAATCGAAATTTAAATTCGTCGGGTGGAGAAGTGCTACTCTCTACTGTGTGTACAATAGGTCACTGGTAGGTACCTTAGAAGTAACTCTGTAGTATCTGCTTCCGTGGGCCATTCTCTTACCCCATGGGCTTGCACTTCTCCACAAGAGATCCGACTGGAAACTTTGTCTCATGACATGATGACGATGGCGCAGTCAGGATAAAACTACGGGAGAAATTATAATGTGTATTTATTCATTTTAGCTAGTGTTGGGTTCGCCTCCATCATCATCCCCATGGGTTCAGGAGAATGAGAACCACCCAATGAGGATGCTTTACTCAGTGGTTTATCAACAGTGATCACTCCATGGAGATGCTGGTCCAAACTACAGGTAAGTGGAGCCTAGTGTTAAAGAGCTTCATAGCTCATAGGGTTATTCCTGCTTAAATAAAAGATCTATGTCTAATGTTGCTATTTCCACCACAGATTCAGGATTGCTCGCAAAAAAAGCAATACCCAATGCCTGTTTAAGGAAGGGGGCACATTTTAATGGCAATTTTGCCGAATTAGATTTTTTCAATGTTAATTCCACTTTTCATCCAGGAAAGATTCCCTCTGAGCCATCGTGATGCTTTATCAGGAAGGTGCCGCTTTGAGTTGTTTGACTTCGTTCTGTGTGCGGCGGCGGCGGCCCGGGGGGGGGGGGGGGTATTGCATGTGCGACAGTCACCAGAAGCACACACAAGTTCACGATCACGTTCTGCTACACCGCCATCTGCTGGCCACGTTGCAACCCTCCCTTGATTTCACGGGGTCGTCTTTTCGTGGTCCCACCGGCACACACCGCAACCCTTCCAAACATTCTGGGCTCGCAGCGCACTGTTTGCTAAACACTGTGACGTGATGCCCCCCCCCCCCCCCCATGCTTGCCTTATTCATATTAATCTTCAGAAATGCTGTCAAAGTTAAATTCATTCCAGCCGATTAGGAACAAAGGCGCAATGGAGCCGGCGTCAAGTTAAGGTCTTTAACGAGCCACGTAGCATGGGCGGGCGGCGATGGGGACATGCCGACCGAACTTCTACGGTATCCTTTTAATTTTTACAAGCTACATTCGATATATTAACCTGTCAATAGCTGTGCGGGGGGCTGGACACAATGTAACCCGACCCACTTGCACAATTAAGGCGATGTGTGCCAACGCAGCCTGTTTGATCTGATGTACACACGCGGCGTGGAAACTGGAGCGGAATTCCAACGGTTGAAGAAAGCGGATCAAAAAATAATAATCCCGCTGCGTTTCGCGTTACGCAGTGGCTTGGCATCGCGTCTGTGGGCCCCCCTCTCCCGTTCAACGAAAGGTCACTTCTACGGGTTTGCCCCGTGAACGTCCCTGGTCGTGTTGAGTAGCGAGTGAGTGTGGACATGCGTGCGTGTTGCTCAGGACCGGGGAGCGGTGGTGTAGTGGTTAGCGCGCTGCGCTACGAACCCGGCGCAGGAGTTCGATTCACCGCTCACGGCCTAACACCGGTGACGATTAATTTAATCGGTCCTGGGCCTCCCCTAGGTCGACTCAGCCTCAAGTGAGTAGCTAGTGCGGTGTGTAAACCTCGTCACTAGGGAGATAAAGGCGGCCGGGCGTGGTGCTGGCCACCCACCCCCTCGTGTGCCGTGCCGGCTTGCATAGGTGCTCGCTAACAGCACTTGCCCCAACAGTCTGTTAAAGGCTATATGGGGGATCTTTGTCTTTTGTTTTTGTTGCTCAGGACAAACCGGACAGGTGACCAACACTGGGCACTTTGACATGTGGCAAGGAGGTAAACCTGTGAATCTATTTCTTCATATTTTATCACCGGTTAATATTCAGCATAATACAATTAACGTGTTTGTTTCCTGAAGAAAACATTACTTAATGCTGCATTGTATGAATACTTATATTGTTCCAAATGCGACATTTAAAACATAAAACTGTGTGCCCGGCAGCAACATTGTTAAGTTCTTTAAAGCTGTAGGTTTGAAAGTGCCTGTCTGTTTGTAAAGTGTCTGTTTCATATGAATTTTATTTTTTTGAAATAACAATTCAGAATCACAGATGTGTCCATTAGGGGTGGGTCAATTAGATCCATCAGCCAAAAGGCTTGCCAGGCCATCATTTTTAGCAATACAATCTGGCTTTATATCGCGTGTCGATTGGAACTGGGACAAAAATAAATGTGTGTTGTTGAAGTAAGGTGCGATTGGTGTCACCACACACACACATATACTGTTACATCAGTTTACATGGATTACAAACTCTCTTGCAGATGTAAAACTACTGATCGAGTTCCTGAATGGGATCAAGGAAGGCACGATTGTCTTGTTGGCAAGCTTTGACGATCCCTTCACAAAGTGAGTGCGCAATGTTATGGTGAACCATTGGGAAGGATGCCCGCGGCCTTCAACGAGGCCTAGAATTTTAATTAATGTGCTGTGTTATTTCTTCTTCTTCTTCCTCCTCCTTTTGCTCTTCTTCGTCTTTCATACCGCAGGGTGATCAGCAATGGTTTTACTGGACAGTATATATATACTAAATAAACTTGGCACATTTAGAAACATGCGTTTAGACTATTTAGATGAATTTGCTGCTTTAAATGCCCAAATGATAAGCCACTTCGTTGAGCTGTCATTTGTGGCCAGGTCGCTTCTGAAAAGTAATTTAATACCTCAGTTGGCGCTTGCCTGGTAGGAATGGGAATGGTTTAGTGTTTTATTTGTGTTTACTTTCCTTTGCACTCGTATCGTGTTTTTTTTATTGATTGTTGTTGTAGTGTTCTTACCAGCCCCGACTGGACATCTGTGAAAAAGAGCTTCATGGCTCATCAGATTCCCACTGCAGTATAAATGCATATTCTGATTCTGATAATAATCCCAATTCATAGCACATATCATTTACGCGCTCGGAAGAAGGGCCACTTCCAAATAAAAACGTTATCCCATTCTATATTGTTTCTTTGTAAAAGTCATAATCAATTCTCGCATGCACTTTTTTTGTACACTATATCGATCGTAATAGTGTATTTTAATCGACAATTGAATGCATCATTACATGCCTAGCATATCAAGTAACATGTACAGTTAACTCTTAATCATCCGTGGGCAGATTATCAGGGTTGCGATGTAACTCTGACTGAGAATAAATAAAAGTTATTTTGTGGGCACGCTGGTTTAATTATTAGTTGCCCGTCACCCATCTAGGGTCAGTGACTCGGTACACACGTCACCGCACACATCCACAATTAAACTGATCACTTTAAAAAGCGATAAAAACACATACTCTTGTCTTCTTCGTCCTCATTACATGTAGGCAACCATGAATGACGTTGTTTTACATCTTAATCCACGTATGCTTTTCATTATCCATAATATTTTTCTATTGTCCACGTCTCCACTCCCCCCCCCCCCTTACATTTAGCCCTCATAATAGAGAGTTCACTTTGATTCCTGTGGCTGGGAATCGAACTTGGGTAGGGAAGTTCTTAGCGTGGTGCAGTAAACACTCATTCTCCAGAATCATCACTTTAATTTCAGAATAATCAATTTCCCGCAACTCAAATTTGCACGGTTGGCTATGTACGATGCGAAAGAAGTTCAACACGCATACATAATTTACTTCATATTGAGCATAGTATTAAATGAGTAATATTTATGAGTGATCTAAAAATTATCCTTCTTCATGTAAATGATTCATACATACTGTTGGTCTAAAGAATACACCCCTAGTCTACATATTAATTTCATGGTGTAATTGCATGCTTCACTGCTGCATCTGTACACTGCCTTCACGCCAACTCTGCTCATCCTCGCAGCAGCTTTTGGCTGGCCATTGTTGGTGCGCTTTCAGATGCGCATCTGCGGCCGTCTGGAATGCTCTTCCTTCCGATATTAGAATGCCACTTGAGCGCTGTAATTTTAAATCTAGATTGAAAAGTAATTTCTTTAGAACTGCTTGCTGTGTTTAGTTTGTATTGTCCTTCCCCCCGCACCTCCGATTAGCACGGTTGGCTACGTACGGTGCGAATTTTTTTTAAACATACCTACATTGTATTTCCCTTTTGCTCCTCGCCTGTGCTATTAAATGTCTTGTTCCCATCTTTTTCCAAACCCACCCACCATCATCACCATACTAATATATGTGGAGTGGTTGACTTCACACGGACGAGTTCTTCTTTTCTCCGACGGCAATTTTTATTCCAAAACTCTTCACATTCAACACCCGTGGTGACTTCAACGTGTTTCTCCGCTCGCCGCCGCTCGCTGTCTCTCCCCTCTCTCGCTGTCTCTGCCCTCTCCTTGTCTCTGTCTCACTCTGTCTGTGTCACTCTGTCTCTGTCTCACTCTGTATCTCGCTTTCTCTCACTGTCTCTCCTTGTCTCTGTCTCTCTCTCCTTGTCTCTCCTTGTCTCTGCCTTGTCTCTGTCTCTCTCCGTCTCTCCTTGTCTCTGCCTTGTCTCTGTCTTTCTCTGTCTCTCCTTGTCTCTGCCTTGTCTCTCCTTGTCTCTGTCTCTCTCTCCGTCTCTCCTTGTCTCTGTCTCTCTCCGGCTCTCCTTGTCTCTCCGTGTCTCTGCCTTGTCTCTGTCTTTCTCCGTCTCTCCTTGTCTCTGCCTTGTCTCTCCTTGTCTCTATCTCTCTCTCCGTCTCTCCTTGTCTCTGTCTCTCTCCGTTTCTCCTTGTCTCTGCCTTGTCTCTGTCTCTCTCTCCGTCTCTCCTTGTCTCTGTCTTGTCTCTGTCTCTCTCCATCTCTCCTTGTCTCTGCCTTGTCTCTGTCTCTCTCCGTCTCTCCTTGTCTCTCCTTGTCTCTGTCTCTCTCTCCATCTCTCCTTGTCTCTGCCTTGTCTCTGCCTTGTCTCTGTCTTTCTCCGTCTCTCCTTGTATCTGCCTTGTCTCTCCTTGTCTCTGTCTCTCTCCGTCTCTCCTTGTCTCTGCCTTGTCTCTGTCTCTCTCTCCGTCTCTCCTTGTCTCTCCTTGTCTCTGTCTCTCTCTCTGTCTCTCCTTGTCTCTGCCTTGTTTCTCCTTGTCTCTCTCTCTCCGTCTCTCCTTGTCTCTGTCTCTCTCCGTCTCTCCTTGTCTTTGGCTTGTCTCTGTCTCTCTCCGTCTCTCCTTGTCTCTCTCCGTCTCTCCTTGTCTCTGCCTTGTCTCTATCTTGTCTCTGCTCCCTGTTCCACTGCTAGCCTGTTCTGTCTCTCATGTCTTTTCTCTCTCTCTCTCTCCTGCCGATCCTCTGCCTACTTCTGACCTGCTCCGTTCCAGTCCCAAGCAACAACTCAACTCCCCGCTCTCCCGTCCCCGAATATATCCCCGTCCTCGGTTACTATCAATTAATTAAGCGGCGTCCCCAACGACGCCTCGTGTCCCTGGCCCCTGCCGTTATGACCCCCATCCCCCGACAATGTGGCGTCACCTTGCCCCTGACAACAACAACAACAACCGGCTAATCACCGCCATGCATCTGTAGGGGTGAACCCACTACACATCTCATACCAACTTACTGGGCCATCTCCCTTTCGGCGTTTCCCCACGCCGCACCTGTCCGGCCCGACACGACCCCACTGTCCATAACTCGCGCGTCTTTACAATCCTCACTGTATGCGCGTGTTAATCCACTACATCCTTGTATCCCCACTACATCTATGTATCCCCACACAGGCTAAATGATGAGGCCAGGGCACTCTTTGTCAAGCTGGGCAGCTCAATCGTCAACTCGCTGGCCTTCCGAGAGAGCTGGGTCTTTGTTGGTGCCTTGGGCATCGAAGGGAAGAGCCCCTTCGAAGCGGTACCATGAGAAACATTCACGCATATGGATTCTGTAACGTTTTTTTATTTGCAACGTGTGTTTGTTCGCGGACGTATTTAATTATCATTAATAACGTTACGTTTCAAGCCACACAATAAGATTACATCATAACGTCATTGGGGAGGGGAGGTACGTCTCCACCACGCAAGAACAATCCTTGTAGCGCTATTGTTTTTCATCTCACAAGTTTAGGGTAACCCTTTGATTAATGTGGCCAGTTTCTATAGGGAAAGCCTCGACTAGCAACACAACTTTTGAGTATTTGGCTGCTATAAATGTTCACACGATAAGCCACTTCGTTGAGCTGTCATTTGTGGCCCGGTGGCTTCTGAAAAAGAGCAACGTAGCTCAGTGGGCCTTACCTGGTAAAATAATACAAAATAGTTTCATTAACTTTTTACTAAACCTCCAATCATGTTAGATAATCTTTACAATTGTATTGTCCCCCTGCATGACGGACAGAGATCGCTCGTGAAGACTCTTGGCCTTAGTTGCAACGCATTAAAACTCATTGTGATATTCTGGTAGCATGAAGTTGCAGTTCTCAGCCACACAAAAGTGTGCACTTGCTATTGCTGTAGTGCAGTTAAAATCTCAAACAAATATATCATTTTTAAATGAGTTACAAAAGTAATATTTGGATACATTCTAAAATTAAGCATTCAGAGTTGGCAGGGAGGTGAACCAGAGGTCACTTTAAGGGATTTCATAGGTATCTGTGTGACACCTGCTTCCCCGGGGCCGTTCTCGAACACAGCGGGTTGCATTGCATTATTCTACGAGGGATGTGAATGAATTCACGTGACTTAACGCCCTTAGCACATTTGGGATACATATTCTTTGGGTATTTCGGTAAAGTCACGTAGATAGTTTTTATTTTGATTTAAAGCTTTCGTGACTGCAGTAATTCATATTCTTAGCTCTTTCGGTAAAGAATAAAATATATATTTATTCTATTATTGTTTCCCTTCAACGTGACTTTACCGAAAGAGCTAAGAATATCATGTATATAGGTTCAAAGAAAATAACATAAAGACTACGACGTTTCGATCGCAACACAAGCGGTCGTCATCAGGAAAAAAAAAAACTTTTCCTGATGACAACCGCTTGTGTTGCGATCGAAACGTCGTAGTCTTTTTCGTTCTTTTCTTTGAACCTATCTACGTGACTTTACCGTAAGACCAAAATAATATGAATTCCTGCAGTTACGAAAGCTTTAAGTCGAGATTTAATTGGGATACAATTTGGAGAAAGGCAAAGAAATGCTATTTAACCCAGGAGTCTGTTGACCACTGCCAGTAAAGGAATGTAGTCAGTATTGCATCTCAATTGGTTCTCTCAGCTGCCTCTGAAACAGAGCGTCCGAGCAATTGATCAGTCTAAAAAAATCTTCCGGCTAACCGCGCTTCCTCCCGCCCCACTTCTGCCACCTCTCTCACCTGTTCAGCGGCTGGAAAACAAGAAGGAGACCAACAAGTACGACGGCTGGCCAGAGATGGTGGAGCTCGAGGGATGCATTCCCCGCAAGCTGACATGACGGCACCCGTTCAAAGCGACCCGGAGCGATGTCCCGCATGACACCAGCGGAAGCGAAGGCCCGCTCGCACACCCACAAACTCCTCGTGTGATACGCGTCGCGATCCGCCTGCGCCCGGGGGAGTCGTTGCAGCGATCGTCGGACGGAGAGCGGTGTTTCCCAAACTTTTAAGCTACTGTGAGTCTCGGAATGATTCGACTTTGGAGATTTCCTCTGCTGCTGCCATTGTGGTTATTGATTGGGTGGTGGGGGTTTGGGGTGGGAAGAAATGTTTGTGGTTTGTTGATAATCACTTTGGGAAGCAGTGTCAGACACAACTTTTGACTCGTATTTATTTGCGGGAAATGATACCAACCTTCCCTTTGCCACACATATTGCTTTTATGTGTATTTTCTTTCATTGGTACTGTACTTTACTTTTTTATATTCGGGGGTCTTGCAAAGATGTAAGAGAAGTTTATCATTGCAAATGTACACACTTCTGGAATGCATCGATGTCTCTTTGCACTACCGTGGTACATTTCCCTGTTCGTAATGTGTGCCTTTTTGTGCTGTCAAACTAAACTCTCCGTTCAATGAAACGGTCACTAAATAGATAATTATCAGCATATATGACTTTATAACGTTGGTGTGATGTGTGTGGATTCTGATAATTTCATAAAACATTACTTTAAAGTATAGCTTAAGCGTTTAAATAGATTTTGTACTGGAAGACAGAGCAAATGGTGTACGATATTTGAATGTAGGTAGTTATGGTGTACTGAAATTGCAGTTTTATATGGATGTAATTGTTTTTAAGATAATTGAAGGGTAAATGTGTTTGTCAGAATGTGTGCTTTCTATTTTGATGTTATACGTATGAGTAAAATCTAGAAAAAGTGGACTTATATTTAATAGATTCTTTTGGGGGGGGGGATTTCTTGGTATAGAAATGGGTATTTATTTGCAAAAATTGTGTTGCAAAGTCAAAGGTGAAAATAAAAAATAAACGTTATACCTTTTTTGTCATTCATTTCGCATACATGTTGAATACATAATATGGATGTATGCATGCATTTAAATACATAATATAAGCAACCTATGTATCAATGTATAACTTGGCAAACGATACTGCTAAATGTCAACTAAAGCCTGAAATGTAGCCCCTTAGTAACAGCAGCTATCACAACCTGTTGTAAGCATTGGTGGTCGCTCATCCAAGCAGTATATAAGCTCATTATAAGCTTTAAAAACAATTACATGTACTCTCATGCAGTATATGTACTGGATATTGTGTACACCAGTACATAAAGACGTATACTGCAGTTGTACATATGAATTGGACATATTGTCCCAGGACTTCTGAAATTATGTGAATTTGCTTTCTTGGTTAAAAGTTAAAATTAACTGCATTTTCTGTCTTAATCTCTGTAGTTTAGCACGCATCGATGAGTTTCACTGTAGAATACATACTTTTAATCTAGGAGTTTGTTTACTCCACTGTCTATGACCAAATATCCATATTTAATGCACCCTATTCTGCCCACTCTTAGAAGCTAAGCAGGTTTGAGCCAGCTTATAAGTGGTGACATATAATGGGTCACTAAGGCGCCTAGCGCCATCTACCGACAGAGAGGAATAGTGGGTATAGTAGCCCTCTCTGCCAGCAGAGTATATGATGTCATGGAAGATGTCTCTGGGGCTGGCAGAGTAGGGGGCCATTGAGGACGTAGTAGCCCAAAGGTTACAGAAGGGGACATATGTTGTAGGGCCCAGAAACTTCTAGTGAGTTCCAGAAGGGGGCGTGGCCGAGGGCGGAGCCAGTCAGGGGACACGTGGAAGGCGATCCAGAACCTTCTGGTGGGTTCTGGATGGGGGTGTGTCCGAGGGCAGAGCGGGGCCACGCTGAGGGGCATAAAAGGGGGGTCCGGGGCTGCATCGGGGCTGTTTGCTGGAATGGAACCCGCCATGCTGCGTCTTCTCTTCGGTCTTCGGTGTTCGTGTTCGGCATCGTGGGTCAGGCAGTGGTGGGGCCGTCCATAAATGACGTCACGCATCTGGGGGGGTGGGGGTCAGACATTTGTGACGATGTGTGACGAGGGGGGGGGGGGAGTTTGAGAAATGTGACGTCACATCAAAATGCGCAACTTTAAATAAATATAGACAACACGTTCTACTTCATTAAATATATACTTTTTAATAAATGTTTTCTCCTACAACATCAGAGTGCAGCGCCACATTAAATACGCACTACAATGACAATAGTTTAAAGCGATTTGAAGCATGTTTTTATTTGGGGGGGGGCAGAGCTTTGTGACGTCATATTTGAGGGGGGTCTGACTTTTTGTGATGCCGTGTGATGAAGGGGGGGTGGTCAAAAATCGCGTGACGTCATTTATGGACGGCCCCTGTGCCGACTGTCTCTCAAGTGAACCCACTGCTCAAGTACTGACCTGTGACCTGCCTGTAAATAACAGGTGTTATAGGCATTCGATCGCTGGAGGTGGCCAGTAGATGGCAGTGCGGATTGTAAGTACCCCTTGTGTGTCTCTGCGTTGTTACTCGCTCATCGATGGGACGACAATAGTTCCAATGCACAACTCTTCAAGAATAACTTGAGAGAATCGGTGAGGATTTCCTGGGGAAACGATTGATCATGATTAGTATTAGCACGCTCATTTGTTTTGGACGAACAGTGTTCGATACTATGCACGCATGTCTTAAATACATCCATTTCAAAATGCAAAAGCCACAATGGCAATGAATGCCTCTTATGTAACCACGTGGGAGCCAATCGCAGCACAGTGTAGTATTCAGCAAATGCCAGATATTGGTATGAGCCCGTTTATTAGGTACAATTTGATTGCGGCCCTTGTACATTTTAAACGGTGCACGGCCGCTTCGCCAACTCGACGATTGAACGAGTTACAAAAAAACAATTCACCCCCTCCCCCCACCACCGCACTTAAAACATTCCCAATAAAAATAGTCCCTCGATATTAATCGATAACGCTCTCGTTTGCGGTGACGTCGGCCCCCACGCCGAAGTAGTTCCGGTCTTGCGAGTTGGTTGGGGTGGTGGTGGGGGCGGGGAGAGGGGGCGGGGCGTGGTGAGGGGGCGGGGGGCGTGGTGAGGGGGCAGGGCGTGGTGAGGGGGGCAGGGCGTGGTGAGGGGGCGGGGGGCGTGGTGAGGGGGCGGGGGGCGTGGTGCGGGGGCGTGGTGAGGGGGCGTGGTGAGGGGCGTGGTGAGGGGCGGGGGCGTGGTGAGGGGGCGGGGCGTGGTGAGGGGGCGGGGCGAGTCTTCGTTAATCGCCCGGATTATATTAAAGGAAGCGTCTCCGTCCGCGCGGTGCTGCGGCCCCCCCTCCCCCCGAATGCCGAGCGAGGGCGGAGGAACATGGCGGCCGAACCGTGAGTAGCGCGGCCCCGGATGACTCTGCGACCGCGGCACTCAGCAGCAGCTAGGAGGCTCCAGCTCGCCCGCCTTTGTCTCCCCCCGTCTGTCTCTCTCTGTGTGTCCCATTCCCCCCCCCACCCCTCGCCTTCGTGTGTAGGGAGAAGAAAAGAAGTAGAGTAGAGGAACACCCGCACAAGTCAGTGGCCGTACATTTTTTTAAAATTGTTTTTAAACAAACAAAAAAATTCGTCTTTTTTTTCTCTTTCACCCGCCGCTTAGCGCAGTCGCGTGTGTCGTTGTGTGTCCGTGTTTACGCATTGTTGGCGGTGTTGTTGTTGGTCGTCCTGGGGAAGGCCATCGCTATAGCCGAGAGGAGTCGCCCTTTGTGTCGCTTGTTTGTTGTCGTCTTATCATCATCATCATCCCGGGTCGCCCTCGACGCCTCGCGTGTCACTAGTCACCCTGTCACTAGTCACCCTGTCACTAGTCACCCTGTCACTAGTCACCCTGTTACTAGCGACCCTGTTACTAGTCACCCTGTTACTAGTCACCCTGTCACTAGTCACCCTGTCACAGGTCACCCTGTCACTAGTCACCCTGTCACTAGTCACCCTGTCACTAGTCACCCTGTCACTAGTCACCCTGTTACTAGCGACCCTGTTACTAGTCACCCTGTTACTAGTCACCCTGTCACTAGTCACCCTGTCACAGGTCACCCTGTCACTAGTCACCCTGTTACTAGTCACCCTGTCACTAGTCACCCTGTCACAGGTCACCCTGTTACTAGTCACCCTGTCACTAGTCACCCTGTCACTAGTCACCCTGTCACTAGTCACCCTGTCACTAGTCACCCTGTCACTAGCCACCCTGTCACTAGTCACCCTGTCACTAGCCACCCTGTCACTAGTCACCCTGTTACTAGTCACCCTGTCACTAGTCACCCTGTTACTAGTCACCCTGTCACTAGTCACCCTGTCACAGGTCACCCTGTCACTAGTCATCCTGTCACAGGTCACCCTGTCACTAGTCACCCTGTCACTAGTCACCCTGTTAATAGTCACCCTGTTACTAGTCACCCTGTCAGAAAGTCACCCTGTCACTAGTCACCCTGTTACTAGTCACCCTGTTAGAAAGTCACCCTGTTACTAGTCACCCTGTCACAGGTCACCCTGTTACTAGCGACCCTGTCACTAGTCACCCTGTTACTAGTCACCCTGTCACTAGTCACCCTGTCACTAGTCACCCTGTCACTAGCCAACCTGTCACTAGTCACCCTGTTACTAGTCACCCTGTTAGAAAGTCACCCTGTTACTAGTCACCCTGTCACAGGTCACCCTGTTACTAGCGACCCTGTCACTAGTCACCCTGTTACTAGTCACCCTGTCACTAGTCACCCTGTCACTAGTCACCCTGTCACTAGTCACCCTGTTACTAGTCACCCTGTTACTAGTCACCCTGTCACTAGTCACCCTGTCACTAGTCACCCTGTTACTAGTCACCCTGTCAGAAAGTCACCCTGTTACTAGTCACCCTGTTACTAGTCACCCTGTCACAAGTCACCCTGTTACTAGTCACCCTGTCACTAGTCACCCTGTTACTAGTCACCCTGTTACTAGTCAGCCTGTCAGAAAGTCACCCTGTTACTAGTCACCCTGTCACTAGTCACCCTGTCACTAGTCACCCTGTTACTAGTCACCCTGTTACTAGTCAGCCTGTCAGAAAGTCACCCTGTCACAAGTCACCCTGTTACTAGTCACCCTGTCAGAAAGTCACCCTGTCACTAGTCACCCTGTCACAGGTCACCCTGTCACTAGTCACCCTGTCACAAGTCACCCTGTCACTAGTCACCCTGTCAGAAATTCACCCTGTCACTAGTCACCCTGTTACTAGTCACCCTGTCACTAGTCACCCTGTCACTAGTCACCTTGTTACTAGTCACCCTGTCAGAAAATCACCCTGTCACTAGTCACCCTGTCACTAGTCACCCTGTCACTAGTCACCCTGTTACGAGTCACCCTGTTACTAGTCACCCTGTTACGAGTCACCCTGTCACTAGTCACCCTGTCACTAGTCACCCTGTTACGAGTCACCCTGTCACTAGTCACCCTGTTACTAGTCACCCTGTCACTAGTCACCCTGTCACTAGTCACCCTGTTACTAGCGACCCTGTCACTAGTCACCCTGTCACTAGTCACCCTGTCACTAGTCACCCTGTTACTAGTCACCCTGTCAGAAAATCACCCTGTTACTAGTCACCCTGTCACTAGTCACCCTGTTACTAGCGACCCTGTCACTAGCCACCCTGTCACTAGTCACCCTGTTACTAGTCACCCTGTCACTAGTAACGCTGTCACTAGTCACCCTGTCACTAGTCACCCTGTCACTAGTCACCCTGTTACTAGTCACCCTGTCACTAGTCAGCCTGTCAGAAAGTCACCCTGTTACTAGTCACCCTGTCACTAGTCACCCTGTCACTAGTCACCCTGTTACTAGTCACCCTGTTACTAGTCAGCCTGTCAGAAAGTCACCCTGTCACAAGTCACCCTGTTACTAGTCACCCTGTCAGAAAGTCACCCTGTCACTAGTCACCCTGTCACAGGTCACCCTGTCACTAGTCA